AAATTTTTTAGACAGTGCGTTGATTTTTTCCATTTTAACGCACTTTGAAATTTTTTTTAACAAAATCAAAGTTTTTTTAAATAAAATTTTTGCCATATATTTTGGGTTTTAATGTTTCTTTTAAATTTCACCAATGATTGGATAGATCGTTTAAGTGAAGAAAGGCAAATGGTTAAAAATGATACTTGTTATGTTGCCAAGGGAAAGCAAATTTGAAAAGAAATGTGTTCTTTAATTAAGAAATTTGATATCAAAGACCTCCAATTTACTCCTTGAAAAATATTTGAATATTTTAACGATAATATACTCACAGTCAATAGAAACGCATCACCCAAATTTTAGGGTGTAAATATACAGGATATAACTATGTACCAAAAAAGTTACGACATCTTTTACTTTGCCAAATCAGTTATTTAGCGATTAAATAATTTTCATTCCATTACCAGAAGTTAATTTTATCCCTCTTAACTGAAATCAAACAATAACACTTTAAATAAAATTTTTGACAATATTTTGGGTTTTAATGATTTGTACCTGGTAATCATAAGTATTGTACTAAAATTCCAGAATAATATCCTCCTTTCTTTTCCGAATGTGATGCTTGGTTTACCTCTCAATTACTGAAAGCACGCATTTTCATTGCTAATGCTGGAAATTCTCAAAATAAAGAAAGCGTAGAGCTGAAAATGCAAACATACACTACATAACGACTTTTCGGGCTCATGTGTTTCAAAAGTATAAATGACAGCTCTTTGATTGGAAGTCTAATGGTTACTAAACTAGTTAGAGAAAATTCTACCTCGGTATCTGAAAAACAGGCAATCCAAAATGTCTAAGAATATTTATTTCGCTCAGATAAAGACATTGATCAAACTTATGAATTGTAGAAACCTGGCTGTGTATGTTGAACAAATTCTTAAACGAGGTAAATTATTGACAAGCAAGTTGTTGAAACAAGAATATAAGCAGTCTCGTTTAAAGTCATCGTTTCGTAAGTTCTATGGTCGATACAATTACCTTGTCAGCAAATACAATTTATCATTGACTCAAACGCTGACTGACGTTTTTCATACTAATTGTTAGTCCATTATTTATACACTGAATTGACGACGGATTTCATTTTTTTTCGTTATTTCCTGATCATAACAACGAGCACACAACAGGTGTGACCGGTCGGCAGGGGATGCTCACTCTCCATGGCACCTGATCCCATCTCTGATGTTTCGGAGGTCCGTATTGCTCTGCTCTTATTTTGTATATTGTTTAATTGACTTTGAGATTGAATACTGTTCGTTATTTCCATATCCTTCATGTACATGGCGGACTAGCATGTTTTAATTAAATGGTCGGAATGGGGATGGGGTTTGAAAGTTGTCTGTTAAATTGAGAGGGCTAAAAATTAACTTCCGGTAATGGAATGAAATCATTCCATTGTTAAAGTGCTGATCTGGCAAAGTAAAAAATGTACTAAATTTTTGGTACATAGTTTTATTCCCTATCATAATTTTCACCCTAAAATTAGAGTGTTGCGTTTCTAGTGACTGTGAGTATATAACTATCAAATTCCTAAGATATCGTCTACTTAAGATTTTTAACGTACCGGTATTATATATGATTAAAAAGAAGCCATCTATTCTCTAATCTACTTTGAATAAACGTCTCTCTTGAGGCAGAAGATTTGAGTTTGATGGTCGCCATGCTTATTTTTGGATAGTATAGTCTTTTCCACCCATTCAATTGCAGAGAATTGACCATTTATGACACATAAACTGTTCTTGTTATAAAAATTTACTTACATGAAAAAAAAACTCTCTTTTAGTTTTTGTGACAGAACGTTACGAAGGGGGTGACTTTACTGCCTCTATCACATGATTCGAACATGAGCAGAACGATGGCAGATGTGCATTAAAATCGGAGAGGACAAATTCAAAATATAATCAACACTGAAATCAAATTAACTGTTTTTTATGGAAGTTATTCAATTAGTGTGCATGGTATTTATTTACACTATGTTCGCAGTCACAAATTTTCCGCGAAAATTTGTCCCGTCAGACTTAAAATGCATTTTGAGGCTTATACTGGGAATCTAAGAAAACCGTGTAATTTTCATCCCGTAGATTAAACAGAAATAGTGATTCCGCGGAATTATGACCCCGTGGAAAAATTACGTTTACAATAAATTGCGGGGGATCAAAGGTAACGTCGCTATATCCTTGAATTCGCAATATCCGTGTTTGTACTAAAACGGAACAGAGCAAACGCAGACCTCCGAAACATCAAAGGTGTGATCAGGTGCAGTAGATTAGTAAGAATCCCCTGCTGTCCGATCATACTTTCTGTGAAAATAACGTAAAAATCCCTTGTCAGTTCAATGTTTACATGATGGACTAACAATAAGTATGAAAACTTCAGTCAGTATTTGTCTCAATGATTAATTGCAGTTGTTGACGACTTTCGTTGTATCGACCATATAATTAACAGTATGATGACTTTAGACAAAACCGTTGATATTTTTGTTTACTTACTTATGAGCAACTTACTTGTCAATAATTTACCTCGTTTTAGAAATTGTTCTTACGTAGAGCATGTTCTTGCGTTTCGAGTCAACTGAGTTATAAACACTTCGTTTGCAAGTGATAAAGGTATATTGCTGCAATAATAAATGAAGTTGACAATTGAAAAGCTAAATTCATCACGTTTATCATATAGCTTGGTTTTTAAATTACCATTGACGTCTTTTGCAATTGAAATATCCAAGTATAAAACAGATGTGTCAGACACTGTGGTATTTTTTTTTACCTCAAGCTCTCATAGGAATAAAATTACCATTGTTAATTGACAATACCTCGTCGATATATGTAAATGCCGAGTTGAATGCCAAAGCATGTGTTTTCTTCTATTCATGCATACGATTTTGTACAGATTCTGCTTCTTGTTACATTACACATTGAAAAATTATGCACTTTAATTTTTTTTTCGAATGCGTTTAATTTGGGACCAAATCAACGCATTTTGAAAAAATAAAATTTCTTTTAAAAGTACGTTGATATCGATTATATTAACGTACTTTGGGGAAAAAATGTGTATGGTTTTGTCAATAGTCTTGAAAATCTTAGGCATGATAATTTATTGAACCTGTTGGATATTTTATTCAGTGATAAGTCACTTCTGAGCGATTTTAATTTTTCCATACTTTGAAAATTCTTTCTCTCTTGTTCGATTCACTGTACTTATTTTTTCCAATTTGCATGTATTTAATGTAAGTTAAAATTTATTGGAAGTTTTCAACATCACACAAGTTAAGCAAATATATATTCGGATGTAGCATAGTCATCAGTACTGGGGGGGGGATTAGTAACATAAATGTTTTACAAATGCATACATTATATAGGAATTGAAAATTGGGACTCACCTTTAGGGGAGGTCCACTCTCACTTTGTTACCTAAGTAAAACAGAGTTTCTATATACCCATCTTCTCCATGTTCTTTATGAGGATTAATCAATACATGTTATAAATCAAAACGTTTTTCGAAAGATGTAATTATTACAAAATGATTCTCTTAACTACTTAAATCTATGTCTAGAATTTTTGTTTTATACAAATATTTTCCAAATCACCTAATTTCATAATGTCAACACGGTACAAATGACCTTTTATATACAGGCATATAATGAAAATTGTTCATGAAAAGATTTAACGCACTTTGAAATTTATTTTTCAAAGTGCTAGAATTTTTGTTTTATACAAATATTTTCCAAGTCCTTTAATGTCAACATGGTACAAAATACAACGAAATTTATTTTTACTTTGACAAAAGTACATTGACAAAAAATGTGTATATTTTCAAAATACGTTGCCACAGTGTGTTAGATGTCCCCATGGTAAAAAAAAGTATATGACACTCTTAACGCACTTTGATTTTGTTATTCAAAGTGCATTTACAAATATATATTCCAAAATAAAACTCAAATCTTTCTGACTTGATTTGATAAGAAATATTTTGTTATACATTAGATATATATTAAACCATTATTTTAACACAAAAATGTCATTGTGACTTTTTAGACAACCCGCGTTCACATCTTTTTTTTCAAATTAAAAAGAAGTTCTTATTGTTCTTGAAAAGAAGACACTTAAAAGTACTATAAAGACCAACATGCTCCCCCTGTTGTACTTCTTAAGATTTTTTTTTAAATATGCCATGACATTTTTTTCTATTTTAAAAAAATATTTTCACTATTTTTTAAATAATGTCATTATGACAGAGGGAGCTTGCACCCCAATGTGAACATCTTGAAATCCGTTCACACAATAAAGTTTTGATTGCCATGAAATATATGGAGATAACAAATAGTATTCAAGCTCAAAAGTCCGTATAAAAATACAAAATAAGAACAGAGCAAACATGGGCACAAAACATCAGAGGGGGTCATCCCTGCCAACGGTCATAACCGGCTTTGTGCTAGTTGGCACATTTGGAAAAGATCGGAAAATCCGTCTAAAATTTAGTGTGTAAATGATGGCCTATAATTAGTATGAAATAAGTCAGTTAGCACAGATATCAATGAAAAAAAAATTGTATTTGCTGACAAGGTAAATATATCAACCAAAGGACTTACGAAATGGTGACTTTAAACGATACTGGTGAAATTTCATCGAACTGGTTTGTCAAAATTTTATCTTGTTATACAACTGTAATGATCAGTAATCAGCGAAATGAATAAAAGGAATATGAAATAGTCTCGAGTAATTTTACCAAAACATCGTATTTTAGTAAAATTATAGGTTTGTGTTAGGTTATAGAAACTGACATTCAGACTAAAATGGACATTTCTTTGACGCTTCCTTGTTCCTTGATTTCAATGATAAATCTATAATCAGCGAAAGTAAACAATTTATTCTCAGATTTCCGTGTTTACTGGACGTCGATTGAGTGTTTTAAAAAGCACCTGAGTATAAATAAGAGTAACAATATTGGTAAGGTATAGATTAACGAAAATGCAATTCCAGGTCTTACTTCTACAATTTTTAAGTTTGCAGTTATTTTATGTAACTAAGGCTAACCATTTTCGGGGAGGGACAATTAGTTGGAAATCGACTGGAAACGGATATGAGGCGTGTTATCATACATGTTTTTGTAAACCTTTATGTCTACCATTTCGGTTTTTTTACGAACTTTTCTTTTTTTCAATTAGATTTTTTTTTAATTTTTGGTACATTTGAAAAATTATTCTTAAATGGTATAAAGTATAGCATAATAGTAAATAAATTTTATAAATAAAATATGGTAGTTGAAAGGATTTTTTTTTTTTTTGGTTACAGGTCCAGTTTTCCTTTAGACTTGGTTGGAGGTACGGGGCAGGTCCTGGGTGCACCACTGCTCGTATAGGACAACTTGTAACCGGAATGAATACCACGTATTGGCGATGTACGTCTGGATGTAGTCCAGCTGTGAACCTCAACAATGTGAATTATATTTGCACTGGTGCAAGTGTGTCTGGAAACTGGGAACAAGGGGAGAGAACCTTTACATATACATTTCCAGGACCAGGTCCATTCACAGTTGAGTAAGTCTTATTAAGTGCTTATTCATCATTAAATTTAATATTAATGTATTACAAAAAGATAAGACGAAGATATATTGAACAAATAATTAAGATGTTTTAAATTGATTTCGATTGCTTTCACGCCCTTTAGGTTCACTGGCGGTGCATGGGTGACATTAAGTAATCGACCTGGAGGTAGTTGGTCTATTGGAACAATAGTTAATTTAAAACAAAGAAGTGATACTCACAAACCAAATACTAGCCCAATTACAACAGGAAAACCGATGTATATGTATGTACATATTAACAATACAAAGACTAGAAACTATTGATGTGGACACAGAGTAGTGAGAACATATCTAAATGATAGTTCTCTTTGCACATTTGTTATTTTCTAACCATTGTGTTCATTGTAATTTTTTTTTCTTTCTGACAAGAGTACAATATAACTGTCAAAATGACATTCGAATCCCTGTTGCTGATGCCGACGGCGATGATATTCGATGTCGCTGGTCAAATGGATCAGAATGTGTCTCTATATGCAACGCACTGCCAGCTGCTACCATCGATAGTGTAAGATTACTACCCCTTTATGTTCGCATAATTGAATAAATTTCTTTCGAATGTATTAATTTAACCTATACTTAATATACAATAGAGAACCTGCACTATTAAATTTCCATCTAATCATACACAAAATGGGACCTTTGCTGTAGCTGTAACAATGGAAGATTTCCCTAAATCGACGATTTCTGTTGGTGGAACGGTGCACGGACCAAACACCCCCATATCTTCTGTTACATTACAGGTAAGCAGAATAAAAGTTTATCTTATCAAACTGATTTTTGTTCTTTTCTATTGACATAAATAAAATTTTTTTAAGACGTACAACACACTGGGGGGGATAACTCTTGCGAGGTCAAATTTAACGTCAAAAATAAAGCGTCAAAATGACGAGTAAAACGATCCCGATGTATATCAATCATAAAAGAAAAATGGGATATGGGGCTTAGCTGTGATGATGCGTACAACACTCAATCAATAATTATTTTTTTAATTAACCCGATTACACTCCGTAAATAGCAAGACATAAAATACCATCCCTTAATGTTTATTTTATTTCATATACAATAAATTGTAATCTTGATCAAAGCATAGCATTTATTTTGTATTCTGAACTTTATTTTACATTGCCGAAATTCTCGTTATGTACAATTGGCTATATAACATTCCGATTAATGGTCTTCATTACAATTTGTGCATTAATTTTACGATATAAATATTGTTTTTCTTCTTCAATTAAATAAAACAACAATAAACAAACAAAAAACTTTGTATAAAATAAAATCTATGTTGTTCTAAGACCCTTACTGACCAAAGAGGAACAACTCTGAAAATGTAGGAGATGTTTATTTTCCTCCCTTTATTCACGGTTTTCCACAAAATTAGATACATTTACAGCAAGACCTGATAAATTCGAGAATTGATTACTATAAACCTCATATACACAGTGTAAGTATAGAATTGAAAAGAATTGTTCACTCAGTACTGAAATTATCTGCATTTATGAATATCGGCTATTGCAGCAAATCGTTTGACTTTCTGTCACAGTCAACAAGGTTCGCATTTCCTCGAATCAAAACAAAACGTAGCAAATAAGATTTTTTAAAAATATCAATGTGCGATTTGATATAAATTGAAATAGATGAAGAGTTTTAAAATCTTTGATATTTTGAAGTTAATGTGGACGAATACGGAATTTTCATTTTAACTTTAGAAGTGCAACGACATTGAAAGAATGCGTACAATATCATGAGGGGTGTACATCTATGCAAATGCCGATGTATCCCCACGGCAACATACTGTCTCGTTTGAAATAATGACATGAAAGAAACTACAATTATTCCATTTATTTCATAGAATAGTTGAACATAGACCATTTTTTTAATAAATAAAATTAAAAATCAACATATTCAAGTTCAACATAACTTGAATTCGTATCCAGGTTTCATGTGATAATATGGAATACATAACTCATACATATAGGGACTAATCACTAAAATCCTTCAGTAATTTTATCCTGATACATATAAAAACAGCAGTCAATATTTATTCTGCATTCATGAATTTAAAAACAAATGAATACCTCCGGGATTCAAATGACGAAATACTAGTATATTTGCACTGTAAACGACGTTTCGTCAAACGTTATTGGTCTGCTACGCAAAAAAGGAAGGGGTGGGGGTGATAGGGGTATTAAACAATTGCCTAAAAATCTAGATTTAAATACGCTTTACATATGAGAACTTTAAAATTTGTAAGTTACCATATTTTTTTAGCAAAAGCAATATTCCAATTTGATTTTTTCAAAATGTGTATTTGTCGATTCATAGCAAAGTGATCGACCCCCGTCTGAAAGACGCGTGGGAATGTGATTAATTGAGAAAGGGGGAGGGAGTAATTTTCCGCTATTAAATCAAAAGTCGTCGTACAAAGATTATACATAAAATTATGAAGATTATTTTTACTACCAGCTACCTAAAGAAAGTTTTTTACCAAAATTAAACGACAGGTTTTTTTCACAAAACATTTTTGAATTTGAAAAATGCACAATCTTCAAGGCTTAGCTAATTCATAGTTTTTCGGTTAGAGGTCTTAAAAAATTGTTTTGTTGATATGTATATCAAAAAGATGACTATGTTTTTGTTCTAAATGGTTAAAAGAATAAATCAATAAAATTTGACATTTATATCTAACCTGGCTTTTTTTGAAAATCAAGGTTTAAGTAGCTTATTGATTAAAATTTTCTCTCCTTATTAACAACTAAAGAGGGGTAACTTTTGGAAGTTCCTGTCCAAAAGCCACTCAAACGATTTTGTCCAAAATGTGCATAAATGCAGTTGATATAGTCATGTACTAAATATAAAAAAAATAACGAAAATTAAACGACAGGAATTTTTGGGGGTGGGTGTGTTGTACATCCTTACATTATAAATAGCACATTATCCAAACGTTCGAGATCTAGCGTTTTGATTTTCACTCCTATATACCGAAAAGGCTTTCACTCTAATATCCAAAAAAGGCTTCCATGAAGAAAATTGTATATAAATAATTATTATAACGATTCCTCTCAGTTTCTTATCACAACACCTCCACTGTCTGGGAGATGTAACGACAAACCAGTGTTTGTCAGCCCTACTCCAGCTGCTGGATCAACCTTACAGGCAAACATATTACAAACCTTCCAAGTGTCCTTTTATGCTTCAGATAGTAGAAGGTGAGTAAAATTAAGAAATAAACAACAATGTCAAAAAGTTCTCTAGGAAATGAACATAGTTGATCACGTGATCAAATTCTGTGAAACCTAATGTTTGAATGTTTTAATCCATAACAGAATAACAAAGATGGACATCACTTCACCTGCCGGTATGACCTATACATCATTACAGTCTGTCTCGTCCAGACCTGGAACCTTCTTTGTCAGCACTTCCTGGATACCTCAGCAGAACCAAGTAGGATCCCACATTGTTTGTGCTCTAGCCGAAGACACGTTTGGGTATTAAGCTTTAATTAGTAGTTTTCATCTGTCTCTAAAATATGATTAAATATTTACAACAAAAATGAATAATTAAAAAAAATAAATAAATAAAACTGGGTATTTTCTGGGCATTTAAGTATAAGGATCATCTTTCAATTATTTTTGTTTAAATTATCTCTTTCTTTAAATATGTTTTATTCGTAAATATAGACATTTAAAGCAGATAAGAAAATCAATAAAAGTTTGTTTTTAAATTTGGCAGGAAAACCAGCGAATCAAGGTGCCTAAATATCAACGTAAATGGTAAGTATATTATGATGAAGGATATGGAGATTACGAACAGTATTCAATCTCAACGTCCATTAAACAATATACAAAATAAGAACAGAGCAATCACGGACCTCCGAAACATCAAAGGAGGGATCAGGTGCCATGGGGGAGTGAGCATCCCCTGCCGACCGGTCACATTCGTCGTGTGCTCGTTGTCATGATCAGGAAATATGTGAAAAAATCCGTCGTCAATTCAGTGTATAAATAATGAACTAACAATTCGTATGAAAAACGCCAGTCAGCATTTGACTCAATGAAAAATTGTATTTGCTGACAAGGTCATTGTATCGACAATAGAATTTACGAAATGATGACTTTAACGAGAATGTTGATATTCTTGTTTCATCAACTTCTTTGTCAATAATTTACCTCGTTTAAGAAATTATCATACGTAGAGCACGTGTTTCGAATCAATTGAGATATATATACTCCGTATGCAGGTGATGAAGGTATATTGCTGCATAAGTAAGCGAAGTTGACGATAGAAAAGTTAAAGTCATCACGTTTAACATATAGCTTGGTTGTTAGATTACCATTAGTGTCTTTTTCAAGTAAAATACCCAAGTATGAAGCAGAAGTGCCGGACTCTGTGGTATCTTTTATCTCAAACTCACCAGGATATATTGTATCGACGTAGGAATGAAAATTATCATTATTAATTGCCAATACGTCGTCGATATATCTAAATGTCGAATTGAAGGCCACAGAAAGTGTTTTCTTCTTTTCACGCATAAGATTTTGCATAAATTCTGCTTCATATGAATATAAAAATAAGATCAATCTTTTTGGTCAAACATTTCAAAAGAAATTCTAAAGTTCTTGATAATGTATTATATGTATAATTGCACGTGTCTTCTTCACAGACGTGAGTCCGTGTGTGAGTTCTCCTTGTACAAATGGTGGCACGTGTGTACGACAAGGAATCACTCAGAACTACAGGTGTAACTGTTTACCTGGCTACACGGGACACAGGTGTGAAACAGGTTCGTATAATAAAGAAACTACACAATTGTCAACTTATAATCTTAATTACGATTCAAAAATGACAAAAGAAACATAATCATCATCCGAGTTGCCAAAATCTTGTAGATTTTTGTCATTGAAGGAATGCACTAAATTACAAGCATTCGTAGGATCACAAATGTTTCTGTTATTAAAACAATGTAAATGTATTAAAAAAAAAGAATAACATTTGGATAAAATGATATAAAATTTGTATATGGAGATTATTTGTTTAACCTCGAGAGAAAATATCATTTTAAATAAATTGGGTTATTAAAAAATATATAACAGAAAAAGTGTTTTGAATAATTTTAAGAATGTGCTTATTTAAAAAGTTTTGAATTGTATTTTGTCTCGATCGCAGCGCCGCGTCATACCTAAGACGTAAACATAGGTAGTGACTGTTCCTTCGCCAAGCGCTCGGCATAGAAGTGAAAGTCACGGGTCTTTCGGATATGACCTTAAAAACGTAGGTCCCGTGTCACGGTAGGCGTTTCATTAAAGACCCTCACTGCTCAATGGCCCTGAGTGCCGAGTATAGGTCTAAATTTGAAGCCCTTCGCCAGCATCGGTGACGTCTCCATATGAGTGAAAAATTCTCAAGAGGGACGTTAAACAATATACAATCAATCAATCAATCTAAAAAGTTTTGAATTTTATTTCGAATTACATGGTATTTCTTGCTTGACTTCCCATACATTTGTAGACATTACTTTGATTTTTTGATAAATACGTTACATGCTATCGTCATTATCAAGTTAATTAATTTTTTTAACATATATATCCTTTCCTTTATAGCAACTTATCATTGCAAACTGCTCCTTTGGAAGTAAATAATCTTTTAATTGACCTTCTTTGACTCACAAATAAATCGCTGCGAAACATTTATCTGTGAATTTCTTTAAGTTTGCAAAATAAATCGTTGAGGTTTAATATAGAACTGCTCAATGACAAATAAATAAATGAGGAAAATATTGCGGGTTTTGTTTCTTAATTTACATGTATATACTTTTAGATAATTATTTTTTTGGTCAATTTAATACATATATATTTAGATATAAATGAATGTGCGAGTGCACCCTGTCAGAATCTTGGGACTTGTCATGACCACGTTAACGGTTTTACCTGTACCTGTAGGGGCGGCTTCACTGGACTGATGTGTCAAACAGGTAAATGGTATCTTAAACCGTTACTATCTTATTTTAATGTATCGTGATTTTTTAATAACGAAATAAGCTCAAAATCATATTATTATATTCTTTATTGAACACTGCAAATCTCTTTCATTACATCATCTTTATAATGTATTCACTTTCCTTTCCTTAATGACATTGATTATTTTTTATTTACTTTCAAGATATTGACGAATGCCAAAGTGATCCGTGTCAGAACAATGGATCGTGTACCGATCTTATCAACAGGTTTAAATGTTCCTGTATACCAGGGTTTACCGACACAGTATGCCATACAGGTAGCTACTTCTCTTTTAGTTTAAAAAAAATGGAGAAATGTATATTTTCAGCTGACCAGGCTGTCTTTTATTTCAAACAGATATTGATGAATGTGCCAGCTCTCCTTGTCAGAACAATGGATCATGTATTGATGAGATTAATCGGTTCCGGTGCTCATGTGTTCCGGGTTTTACCGGCTCCATCTGTGAAATAGGTAATCTTTTTTACTTTTTTTCAAACACTGTTTGTTTTTTTAAGTCTTTAAAAGGTTTGTGGGAAATCACATATTTTTAGGATTAAAATTTTTGTTCTGTTTCCAGATATCAACGAGTGTGCAAGTAACCCCTGTTTGAATTCGGGTACCTGTAACGATCTAATTAACCACTTCACCTGTTCTTGTCGAGCAGGGTATACAGGGACAATATGTGATATAGGTATGAGTATCAAAAACGCAAGCTCACATAGAAACTCGATTAAAAAAAGATAGGAAAAAAACGCAGTTAATTATTCTTATCAAAAAAACATACATTATAATAATTTTGCCTACAAATTTAATAAAATAAAGGCATGCATATTTTATCATACAGATATAAATGAATGTGCGCCAGATCCCTGCTTAGTTATTTTTGACTGTGAAGATCGTGTGAACGAATACTACTGCAGGATAAACAAATGGAAGCTTGCCATCATCATTTGTAGTATTCTTTTTGTAAATCTGACGGTTATTTCTATTGTCATTTACCTATCAAAAAGACGAAAGTACAGAGATGTCGACCATTCTTGGTAAGACATTTGTTTCTTCTTTTTTTGTATCCCAATTAACAAAAATCAAACAAAATGATTTATAATACGTATGCGTAAAATTTCATTGTCAACTTATCATATAGGTTGTCCAGTTTCATTGACGTTCGTAAACCCGATATCCAGCCTAGGGTTTTGTAAGTATAAAATACTTGAATATTTAGAGTATTGCCGAGGCATTATATTCATTAAAAGTGTTTAATTTTTTCACTACTTTATTTCAGATTCAGAAGTGACATTCCATTTAAACGATTCTAAATAAGAAACCCATTTTTAGAAGAGGTAGAGAGTCGACACAAAGTATCTCATTATTAGAGGACAAAAAGAGTCGACACAAAGTGAAAAGGACTCCTATTATTAGCTTACTTTGTTAGATATGTTTTTACTGCTATATACAAAATGTTACTATTCTGTTATACAAATAGTTGTTGATTAAAGAAAGTATACTGACAAATATTTTTTTATTCAGTGATATCAATATATTAAATGTATCAAAAGTATTCAGACTGTTAAACGCAATTTGAAAAAAAAACTTTAGTAATCAAGCCAAAAATGCCATTGAAATACTACAAAAATTAATCAAGCAGTGAAAATAGACGGACAACATCAGACGTGGAATCAGATTCCTTGGAGAATTAATCATCCTCTGAAAAATAGGTCACATCCGTCATGTGCTCATTGTCATTATAAAGCAAATAGGAAAAGGTATATTGCTACGTATATAAGGGGAGATGATGATGATCAGATGATGCCAAACGTCAACACTCTAATCCTTCAGTTGATGTTAGGTGACCATTAGGATCTTTTGTTTTAAAAGAAATATGCATAGAAAATATGCATCAGCCTCAGTTATCTTTCATTTTACCCCAGAAATATGGCTTAAATATTGCCGACTAGATTTACATTAGAAAAATCAATTAATCATTCCAAGTTTAGATGGATAAATGTACGCAATTTAACCTTGCAGTTTGACTTATCTTTCAAAATTTATCCTTGTCCATACATTTTGGACAGATGGTGCAAGGGACTTCGTTTTTCACAAAAAAATCGGTGATAAGTCAGTGATAATTTTAATTTGAGATATGATAGGGCTGTAATAATTGACGAAAGCGGGGGATCACAATTCTAATTTGCTTGTTTTTAAATGTTTGGGATTAAGATTATTGAAAACTCCTTTGAAGTTTGAAATAATCACACGGTTTATATTACTTCCCGAATATATTGTTGATCGTGAACAATACTTCTATCCTCTTACCTTCAGTGCTGTCATTATTTATGTGAGAAGTGAAGATAAGGGTTTACCTTGGCAGAACAATTGTTGGAATGCGCATTTTATCTATGTTGATATTTCTATGTAGATTAGAAAGCCATTTAAAGTGAAACTCAAATATTCAGAACCCAATCAATAACTTTATTTGATTTATTGAAATCGGGGGATGAATTATACTTATAACCTAATTATTGTTCGGAAGGTTCGTGAATTTCTGTGGTATCCAAAGTTAGTAGAAATATTTTGACATGAGTTCAATTGATTTTATAATAAACAGTATTCAAGATGAAAAGTCCTATAAAATGGCGTAAATAATTATGTAATTAAAAAAAAGCTTTTATATGAAAAACAAGAGTACTTTAACTTTTCTATCATCAACTACTTTCACTTATGCAATAATATATCTTCATCACCTGAATACTCAGTTCCTATTATCTAGAAACCCATACATGTATCTGTTTTGCCGACATTGTTTTTTTTTTATTTCTAGTACATCATACCACATTCGTTAACATCATCCATATTAATTTGTAGGTGTACACCTACTTTCATTGTCGGCAAATTAAGAGGGAGAAGCTGATATATATGTTTTATTAAAAATTTGATAGATAGGTAGATTTTATCTGTCCATTTGCAAAATTGTGCAATCCTTCATGAATACACCATCCTTCTCTATCCTATCTTTAATTTGTAGAGTTTCTCCATTTACAAAAATAATGACTATATATTCTATCCATTTTAATTATTATTAATAATTTTCATATGTAATTTTGAAACAATTGTATTACCTTTTTAGGCGAGACCATCCAAATTAAAATAACATTCTAGGACACCTATGGTTATGCATGAAAATGATATTTATTTATAAATAACGTACGATGTTTTGAATATAATGACTAGTTACCAATCTTGTTTATCTCAGATAAATTTAACGAGAAAATATAAACATAAATCTATGATAATTTTTACATAATTTTGTCTCAAAAAAGCCGTCATAATAATCAAATGAAGAGAGAATTTTTTTGATTATATTTATTATTTTTTTTTTAGACACTCATACAGTTTTCTCAGTTACAACATACAAGTGTATTACAAAATGATATGAAATCCAATCTTTTTATCTACACAGATATCATATCTTATAATTTGGATTTAAGGCATGTCCACCCTCCTGTGATGTCATAGGTTTTTGCAAAAACTGTTGTTAATCTAAATTAAAACCTCTTTCTTTAAAAATAGTTTGGTTGTATTCTTTCAATATGTGTAATGCAAATAATTGTTAAATACGCGAATTATGAAAATGTATATTTTCATTATTTAATCAATTATTCAATCTTCAAAAAAATTGCCAATGGCAGTAACTCCTCGAATATTCAGAAATTTTCATTGTTGCGCATATTATCTAAAAGTTTTTCTCTTATATAAGTATTTTTAGTTCTAGTATTTTATGAAGTACCAATTATTTTGAAACTTTTAGCATCAATATTACGTATTTTAACATTGATATTACGTATTTTAATCAGTTTGTACCTGACATTTATACTGTTCACTACAAAAGAATAAATATTAATGATTAGATAACTTCTATTAAATATTGTCGAATATCTGTAAAAATGTGGTAACGTATACATTTTTTGCGTTATTTCCGTTAATTTTTATAATATACAGTGTAAATAAATGCAGTTTTTCTATTTTGAACTTATAAAACTTTGAGAATAGAAATACCTTAAAATGTTTCATGAGTTTGTGATTTAACATTGTGAAAAAATACAAATGGCATACAAAATAGTGATGTGGTGATATACATTCAACAGTTTTCATCTCTTACTCTATGAAACAATATTATAACTTGAACAAACCGGTGTCTTGATAATAAAGTATACTTAATCATAAATTTTTTAAAACAAGTAAATTATTAGCATGTGGCTTTAGCAAATGTCATAATTATGATTGAAAAATTGAAATGTTATTTTTTGATTTGTAAAAAAACAATATGAATAAAAGAATGAGGTATTTTTACATTGTAAAATGTTATTTAAAGGTACATCTAGTACACAACACCAATGGATTTTATTCTAATTCATTTTCTACATGTACCATTACAGAAGAAAAAAAATAATCTACTATATTGACAATAATGAATAACCATTGTAAAAAAAAAATAATAATTCGTGGCATGTTATCGTCATGTTTTGTGAAAAAATCAGAGAATCATATGTATTGGTCACTTGAGTGCTAACAATTTAGAATGAGTTAGTGCTATCTAAAGGATGTAAACAAGCACGTAAAAATCTCGTATCTGTCTCTCATTAAATGCAGAGAAACTGTTGTTCCATAAATAGTAGAGGGCTGCTATTTGGCCACATGTATAAAGAGTCTCTATTTTTTTTCTTTTATGTTTAATAAATAGAGGGAGGAACTGCACCTCTGCCTTTTGTAATTTACCTCTTTCCTATTACGATTTGTTGATATTCTACGGGAATTTACGTGCATGCATAATTGATACCCTATATTTTTTCTGTAAAATAGTAATAATTCTTCTCTGCCTTTATACTGACGCTGGAAAAAAAGCATATTTCTTTTTTAATTAAATGTATTTGAAAATCCTTATTATAAAGTATCCCATTAATTGTCTTTTTTCTTAGTAACATGTACATTACCTTGATACATATTTCCAACGTTAACACAACTTTCCTGAATGGAATTGAACGTCGTGGTGAAATTTTAAATGTTAAATGATGGTGTCCATGAATATTATATTTTGTATGAAATAATAATAATTTTAATTAAATACAGTTGATAAAAATACAGACAAGAATAACCATTAAAAAATAATAATAAAAAAATTAATTGGTACCGTTTCATCATTAGGCTGTGCCTGATAAAAAACATAAAAAATCTAGTTGAAGCTGAGGTATTTATACATGATAATGAACTTTTCGTTCATAATTAATTAAGAAAGTGTTCGTTTTTCTCGTCCCTCTCCTCCCGTTTCTTGACGATTTCCTCCTTGTAGATGATGTAGAAGTAGCAGGTGGCTGAACACAGGATACAGTTGACGAGGAGGGAGACCCCCAGGGGGACGGCCAGACCTATTACGACCTTCTCTTCGTGGTCAAGATTGGCGTCCTTCTCCTTCACTGTTAAGTATTAATAGGAGATGAAAGATGTCACGAGGAAATACATAAATATGGATACACAAATAAATAAATTATTTTTTTTTTCAAAATAGAAAGGTAAACTTATTTTAATACGCTTATGAATACTTCATAGTGACATGAGCAGTATCTTTCTTCCTTTCTCTAGTTGGAAATAATTGGCCACAATAAGTCTTTTAGTGTTTTGCCAAAGCCACAAAAAAAAAACACACTTTCCTTTTTTTACCTCGTTCTAATTTTTCTATGATGAGGATAAAATGTTTCATGACAATTTAGAGTTATAAACAAATAAACTTCAGAAATAATAACATATTTTTTTTAGGATATGACGTGTAACTATGTATCACAAAATAATTAAAGAAATGTATGATTCATGTCAAGATCTATTGTGTTAATCTTATATGTTCCTTTGGAAATGAGAAACCTTAATAATATTCATTACATGGTTTAAACAATTACTAGCATACGATATGGCGAATTTCCTATTGGCTGAATTTTTCTGAGAAATGTTGTACCTGATTTCAGAAGCTCGGTACAACCGCAGCATTCGCCGGTAACCGGGTTACACTTGGCGTCCGCTCCACAGAACTTCTCACATTTATCCCCGTACTGACCGTAGGGACACACTTTTAAAAAGAAAAAGCGTTATACTAATTGTAACAAAGGACAAACATAGACAAAATTCATAGTTAAGTGAGTAAATATTGCTCATATTCTTTTGTTCTATATATAAGAGAAGGTGTGTTCCATTTCACCTTAACTGTGAAATTCAGGTAAGAAAAAGTTAAAAGGTACTAAGGCAAAATGGGAATTTTAGTATTTGTGAATATTATCACTGGGTTGATATAAAAATTTAAATGATAAAAATTTTTAGATTGAATTTAACAGTTAATTGGAATTTATGAATACAGTGAATAAAATAAATCTTCATCATCTTAATTCACCTGAGAGCTCA